CATTACTGAGCGTCTTAGGTCAGACGATACGATTATCAAATCGATCATCGACTTCTGTGCACAAGCATCCAGGTACCATGTGTACTGATGCAATTTTCGATGCTGGAAGAAGGTGTTCATAATGGGCAATCCATTGTTTGCACAAAACCGCAACAACTTCATGCCGTTATTGTTGAGGACGCTAAGGCCGTTTTTCTCAATCACGCCGTTCCACTTTTCAACGTCTACTCCGACGTGCGCATTAAAATCACTCATCAGTATGAGGGACTGTATTCGGCACTTCAGACAGAGCACACTGCACTTCTAGGAAGGTATCATATTCTCCTTACAAAATGGGCGCAGAGCGCTGTAATAAGGTCAACGCTTTAGCCTGTTGCATCTTTAGTCGGAAGATTGCCAGTCCTCAGCTGACAGGCTACCATTCAACGATTCACCTGCTAAGGAACAAGATTCCAGGGCATTTGCGATTCGCTGACGACAGTCCAACTATCACAGTTTTATTCATTGTAACCTCATACGCTAGCTGATGCCGTTTCGCTCTAAGTGAGGATATATTCCATTTTCTGACTGTAAGCTCCCAGTGACGGTGTCGTCATCGTGGAGGCCTTTTCTGGTGTGCTATAATGGCATCGTGCTCTGTGCCTACTCCTTTTAGAAATGGTAACGAGTCCATTGCTGATTTTCGCGTCGTTTCATGGATATTAATCAGCTGTAGTTGTGCTACTATGTCCCTCTAACAGAAGATGATGAGCAGGTTCTTATCGCCGACTTTCCGCAGCTTGTTTCAGTCTCCTAACAGTTTGCGCAGCCCTTGGGAACCCGGGCGACGACCGATGCAGAATAACATTAGATTATGGTAATACCATGAGGAGCAAGTGTGGCTGAGTCTTACGAAGACTTCGTCACGGTCGTGAAAATTTCTCTAGCGCAGAATACGTGTTACCCTTGTGTGGAACTAGTGATGATCCTAAAAACTGACAGTATTATTAGGCAATAACAGCGAATAAAATACATTACTATTATATATAAAGACGCGGTTAGTAACGGCGTTTACTACGCAAGGTTTATGGCTATAACTTGACACTGTTAATGCTGAAACCTCTAAACAAAGGTAAAAAATAATAACAGGTTCGTAAAAATGCAAAGACTGTGTGCTATGACTTGCGCGTCCAATGGCAGACCGAATGGTCCCTACTGAATCACGTATTACTCTGTAATTTGCGAACGACTCTAATTCTAAAAAGCGAACGAAACTAAATCATAATCTTCACGTGACAATTTGATAACGCTGCCAATTTGTCTAGCGAGTCTAACGCGCAACTAGGAAGTTTAAATTTCAATGACTAAGGCTGTTTGTCCTGAGCAACCCATCGCAGTCTTAAAATGCTTGACTAAAATATTTCAATAGGTCAGCTGCTCTTCAATCTTGAGAAACACCTGTCTATCGAGGGACATACTGAATCAATGACCGTTGTGCTAATAATGTTAGGGTGTTGTCAATGATCGGCACAGATGAAATGAATAATTCAACCTTCGAGGCAGAAACCCATTTAATTCTGATCCTTGAGCGTAGAAGTTTTATATCTGAGGCATAAGTAGAACCGCAAAGCAGTAGCTGTCTCTAAGTCTCTAACCTCCTTACTTCAAGCAAGGCTATCTGAAATGAATCGCATAACCTACCAAATAACTTAGATGTTTATCTCACTCGAGCAAATTTATCTGGCATTTACGATATCTGTACTTTCCCTTTTTACTTCTGTACGGTATCCAATCTTTAATTAACATTCAAGCTTACTGTCACAACAGATATCATAACTGTAGCCGTTTCGATCCATCATCCTAAATGCTTCTTAACGTTTTGAAGTAGTGCACCAGCTCTGTCAGATAATTTTTTTGAACAGCCACTGCGAAAGATAACTTGAAGATTAGTTAGACAAACGCCGAGTCGTCGAACCCATTATCCAATTTTACTCCATTCGAAAACTCTTTGTTCTGTCTCACTTTTATTTCGCAAAAATAATTTGTGCTGTGATCACCTAAAGCCATCTGCAAAAGCAGAACACGTACATAGTTTGGACGTACGCAGTATTTAGAGCGTTTTCCTACAAGGTACTGATTACAATATCGTAAGAAGAATTCCTTTCAAAAATCGAATTTGCCAACTTTTTGTTCATCCGCGTTGCATGCTGGTCTTCTCTTATGTCTGTCATGTTTTGGCCCCCACAAGAACACAGAAGAACAAGATGCTATCCTCAATTCAAACATCAGCGAAGCTATGAAGATGCCTACTTTTCTATTTATATAATCCAAGTATGAACTCCATCAAATAAATTTTCATGAAATCTAATAAAAACCTAAAATAAGTACTTCCGCTTGATCTCTTCGAACAACCGTTCTAAAGAACTGCTGATCACGGCAGACTCGTTTTGCTCAATAACGGGTCTCGGCGCACTTGGCGGACACGACATGGCTTCAAAGATCTAGCAGCAACGTTCGGCTCGAATTAAACGCCACAATACCTTAAATGAAATTTCACAGAAACACAGATTCAGTTCATTTGTTGAATGTCCATAAAATACACCAAGACAACAAAAAATATAACACGTTAAATTTAACATTTTATATTACATTAAAGTTCAATGTTCAAAACAATTTAAATGATTTACAAAAAATAGCAGTGAAGAATTATTTTCTAACAATAAACCTTGTTACCCATAATTTATAACAACCATAGCAAATAAGGAATTTGCATGATAGCCGGACAAAAATAACTCCGCCTTCCTTGACGCAACCAAGTCTGAATGACAAAGAGGTTTGAAGAACCTCGAGAGGTCTCCGTAAAACTTAGTCATCTGCTGCTCATGCGCTTGCTGATGGAACAGATATACTATATCGATCGCAGCCCAGGTTCCAAGAGGGCGCGCAAGCTGTTTGGGGACGGAGGCATGCTGCCGAAGATGGATGAAACGAAGACGAAGATATCAACCAGCAACGCAGTCGTCACCCGTTCTGAAAAGAAGAGGCAGACCGCGCGATGCCATTATAACACATCAAAAATGACTCCAAGGAACGACACCGCCAATGGGAGCTTACAGTCCGAAATTGCAATCTATCCTCTCTCACAGGGAAAGAGCACGGGCTAGATGAAGCCGGAAGAAACCGATTCCTAATAGTTGGACTCCCGTCAACAAAGCGCCAGCGCAAAAGCCCGGGAATCCTGAACCTTTACGGATGAAGGTATTCTACGCAGATTTTGACAACACGACGCGCGCTCAGGCCAGTACTGATGTTGTTCAGGTAGAACCCAACCTGGCTCACAAAATAACTAAATTTAAGACTGTCAGTAGAAGAATGGTAATCCTCCCACTAAAGCTGTAACAGGTTAAAGTGTTGACCTTGCTACAGGTCTAAGCGTCCATTTTACAGGGAGAATATTAGCCACTGCTTGAGGAAGTGGAATGTGCTCTGAACGAAGTGCCGACTACGAAGTCCATCATTCTAAGGAGCGATCTTAATAAGCATGTCGGAACAAATACTGAAAGATGGAAGAACCACTGGAAGGAAGAGCCGCAGTGAACTTAACAATTTAAAGCAAACAAGGACGTCTGGTATGAACAATTTCTTCGAACATCGAAGCTTGCATCAGTATACCTCATACAGAGAAGCATGTACACCTAAGTCAATGATCGATCTGAAAATCATATCGTTTGACATACGATGTTCTGCAATGGATATTCGCTTCAAGAGAAGCGCAGAGCTATCAACCGATCACACCTTGTTGTTGGCACGCTGCGCTGTAAAAAATGCAGTACCATACGAAGATCTGGTGGCAGAAGCAACCGGAGAATCAAATTGAAAACATTATCTTCGGTGGAGATAAGAGCGAAATTTGCAAACTACATCGCACGACGGTTTGAACAGATCCCGGTGATGACAACAGATGTGGAAACCGAGTGGCAGCTCCATAAGAGCAACATACTCGAGGCTGCAGTCGAATGCTGAGGATTTAAATGGGTTGATCTGCCGCGTGGAGGTCAGCGAAGATCTTCCTGGTGGACACGAGAAGTACAACTGGCAGTTAAGGTGAAGAAGAATGCATTCAAGAAATGGCTTGGAAGCAAAGAGCCTTCTACTCGCGTACGATATGTCGAGACACGCAAGCCGGCAGCCATAGCAGTGGCGAAAGCCTAAGCTGATTCCTGGGAGAAGTTCGGTGAGGTGTTGGAGTCGAATTTCCACACGGCAAATAAAGTATTCTGGCAGACCATTCACCGGCTCTGAGTTAAAAATGGCTGTGTAAGAGTAAGGACAGGGCTGGAATCCTCTCACCGTGGATGAGGACCTTATTCAGTGAAGGAGAGAGTACTTTGAGGAACTCCTTAACACCGCGCAACAGCAGGAAGACTCGCCTGCAGAGCAGCAAGGAACGAACACTACCATTTCTGTAGATGAAATTACACAAGTTATGAAATGCTTCAAAAGTGGAAAAGCTGCTGAATTGAAGAAAATCATAGCCTAAAACGCTCAAAGAACTAGGTGAACAAGGCATGTGCTGGCTTACACGTGTCTGTCAAACTGCAACGTAAACGGGGAAGACACCAGCGGACTAGAGAACGGGCGTTGTTGCATTTCTGATCAAGAAACGAGACCATAA